CCAAGCCCATCCAGCCTGTCCCTGAACACTTCCAGGGATGGGACAATCCGTGATAGGGAGGCAGCTGTTGATGGCATTGACTTCCAGCATCCCATAACTGGTGTCTATCCAGAGAGGAGAATCCATATCCCAGCTCTGCTCAGAGCCCAGGGCAAAGAGAGCCCTGCCCTCCCCCCTTCAGGGTTTGAGGGGCCTGGAGGTCTGAAGTCCATTCTCTCTCTCCCAGACAGATAATTCCAACATGTCCCATGCCTGACATGCTGGGCCACCAGGACATCCAGGGGTGCAAGACCCCCATTCCCAGAGGAAATCTGATATCCCTCAGGATATCCAGCCAGAGGAGCCAGGCAGGAATGGCTTCCTGTCCAATGCCTGTAGCCCAGAGCTGTGAGTGAGTGCTCAAGCTGGAACTAGTCCTTGGTGTGTGTAGTGTAAATCAACAGGGGATGGTCTACAACACTCTATAGTGCACAATTTATGCTTTTATGGGCTTTTATCTTTCTGGTTCCCTAAGGAAATGGAGTAATTGCAGATAATTATTGCAGAGATTATTATCTAATTCATACTAGGAATCTACCTGACAGATATTATTCATTTAGCCAACAAGCAGGGCTAAATTTAATTCCTATCTGGTCTCAGTTCAGATTTCAAAATAAAATAGTGATTCCACAATTCTTTGTGCTACTGGCAAGATACTGAGAAAATTGATGTGGATCAAATGCCTGTGCTTAGCAAAATTATGAACGTACTTTATTTAACTTGCTCTCCATCTTAACATAAAAACTTAATGAATATACTCACACTGAAGTTTCAGAATTAACAAGGATGAAACTATATTTAATTTTTGACTCCTGAAGACAGAAATAATATTATATTTATTTATGTCTTTCCTGTTTCTGCCCCAGGCATTCTGGTCATTTTGGACACTTTCCTTAAAATCTCACTTTTTACTATTTCACAAAAAAGTATTTATTTTGTGAATGACATTTTTATCCAGAAGTGAAACCAAAAATTATGTTACAATAGCCATTTTGAGTCTATTTCTAAGATGATTGATTGGTTTGGCTTTTGAACCAATGGATTTACTAAATGTAAACAATAATTGAATCTATTTTAACATCTGTCTGATCATTTATGTGAGAACTATTTTGGATGACTCAGAAATGTTGACTTAGAGCTCTTAGGACGTGCTTGGCTTTTCTTTTTCTGATTACAATTGTTTCTTTGCAAAATAATTCTTTCCTTTCATGGCTATAAAGGCTACCCTAACTATTCCTTTTGGATCCTTTGGATGTTGCATTCAAAAGTGTTTTAACTCCCTCCCTCCNCTCCCTCCCTCTTTTGAGTTTAATGACCAAGATACCAATTGGGACGCAATTCTCAATTTTTGCAGCACTGACATCTACTTGGGAATACTACTGGAAGCCCATTATTATGTACCTATTTATGCAATTAATAAATTAAATATTTAGCAAATAGGTACATAGGTGATGGCCTGGAAAAGCCACCTCAGTCTCTGCTTTCTTCATTGCACAGGGAGAACAACAGTGGAGACACTTGTCAGGCTTCACTCACTGGGTGGAATTCAGTGCTTTGCTGTCCCAGTTTATAAAACACCAAACAAAACCTCAGTTTGAGTGGATTAAAAAGTCAACACACTCTGCTCAAATGCAGTGGTTCACTAAACCCAGCATCTCCTGGCTCCCTGCTCCACCAAAAGCATCTTTCTGACGCACACAAACACATGTGAGCCCACCCTCCTTCCCAATCTCATCTCTTTGCCACAGTCAGCAAAATCCTACCCAAATTGTGGCTCATTGGCACCTTTCCCACTCCTTGGGGAATGTGTCTTGCTTGTGCAAGCTCCCTGTCATCCAGAAAAAGGAGCCCCAGCCCCAGAGGCTGCAAGTTTCAGCAAGCAATGCTCCATTTTGGGCTCTTGAAGGCAGATATCTTCTCTACCTGTTCCTCTCAATAGCCAAGCATTCTGCAGCAGCATGGGCCTTGCTCCTGATTTGATTTATATTTCTCTTTTTTCATGAATTTTCTTAGGGTGCCTCCTCACCTTTGTGTTTGAAGGGTGTGGGGTTTCTCTGGCTACAATTTTTGCCAATTTCACTCCAAAGCTCAGTGAGCAAAACCTGAAAAACACATTGGTCTCTAAGACTTTTAACAGAGAAGTTCTCTTCCCCTCAAGCTTGGTGCTTTGCACACTCAAGGCTGTGTTTCCCTTTTGTGGGTTGCTGTGAACAACCCACACCCATGCACTGAGGCATTGACTTTAAAACCTATGCAACCTATAGATAATCTATATAATACATGTACTATAAAAACATTTCATTAATAACATACTCCATTATGAAGAGAGAGTTTTAAAGTGGCTAAAATGTTTAAAAAATATCTTGTCTCTCAGGTCCTTTTACTGTCACTAGACAATGAAATACAATCCTGTATTGCCTCTAGTTTTGAAGAAGCCTCTCTATCTCCACTGACTCCCTTTCCCTCTTTACTACTGAAATATTGAAAGGGTTTTTTTTCCTTTCCATTTTAGAAGAGAAATAAACTGTGAATCTTCTAAATGCCTCACATCTGGCTTTTGGAGAAAGATGTATTCTAGTGACAGATTATGAGCATAGAAGCTGGTGCAAAGGAACAAGGATGTCTCTCTCCTATTCTGCCACTTTACATTTCAAAATTATTCATGATCAGCATCCCACAATTGAAGTGCATAAGGCAAGAAAAGGGAGTGTCCAAATCCAGTGTAAAAACAACAGTGTGATGCACCTGAAGTGAAACTCTCTATACTATCAGTTGTAGAGTCAGATTAATGAAGATTTGAGGTCAAGGGTAAAGCAAACCTGTATTTTCCAAGGTTCACTTAGACATTTTTAAATGTGAAATCCAGTGAATTTTCATGTTTCACTCACTTCTATCTTTAACCTGACCTGATAATTTTTTCCAAGCACACTTGCTTCCAAAAGTACCCGAGATAATCTGGGAAAGTACAAAAAGCTCCAGTCCCTCAGCATCCGTAAATTCAAAGAGCAGATGAAAAGCCTTACACACGATTCCTGCTGAAGAGCTCAAAAGATTTCGGGGACTCCCAGCTGGGTGGTGACAGTACAGCCTAGATTAGTCCAGTGAACATATGACCTACTCATTTCAACAGTGAAGTGGGAAAATGCTCAACCTTTACCAGCTTCAATGGTAATTCACTGTCTTATTAATACCTGTGCTCCTGAAGTGCACACTGCACGTGTGGGTGTGTCCATACGTGCCTAATTTGATAGATCTCTCTCTATAAATATAGATCTATATCTATATATACACATAACATATAGGAAAAATATACTGTGCATATGTACACGCACAAATCTCTTGAATATTTTAGTTAAAATAGTTTTTCTAGTCCTAGTTGACACCACTGATAAAGAACAGTCTAACACAGATTGTATTACACTATATATAGGACAATGTTTTATAACTACTAGACCTACTCTGGTTAAAATTTAGAGTCAGAAACAACCACTGATTTTATTTTACACTGTTTTGCTTTTGATTTTAGGGAGCTCTTTGGGACAGGAATGGTGTCGTCTTCTATGTTTGATTTCAGTATAAACATCCCTGAGCACAAGGCCAGATTTTAAACAAATGCAGGGCTTCAGCATTCCATGGAAAGCAGGACTTTGTAGCTGAGCTTTGCACACAGCCAGGCAGTGGTACGAAAATTGAGCATTCCCTCTCCTTATGGGACCAGAACCCTGGTTCAAAAAGACCAAAGCTTGATAAATAACCAGGTGAACAGCTCTTCTTTCTTTAGATGCAAATGAAATCCAACTTCTTATTCCACATGGAACAGGCAAAGGACGAGTGCATAGTTGTTTATTTCCATGGCCTACCCAACAAGTACTAAGTCATTAATTACTGCACCTCATCAACTTGCAGCTGCCAAGGGGCACGGAGTTTGGGAGTACAGGCTGTAATTTCAATTTAAATAATTGCTGAGAGTGTGCAGAGTTTTGTTTGTTTGTTTTTTTTCCTTTTTTCTCTTTTCCAGACAAAGAGCATCATTCTCCACAGCTTTGTCTGTCAAGGGCTTGCACATCAGGAAAATTAGATGGAAACAACATAGAATATTATGCAGCCACAAAGGCTTCCAGATGTCTTCCTTCACAAGTTCAAAGCACTTTAAGTGTGCTTTCTCAGATGCTGTGTACATATAAATCAGTGTATTGAACTATTGATTATGATAAATTGCTTTTTGAGTGGTACTACTTTTTTTGAATGCAACAATGACACGAACTTGGAAGATATTCATTCATGAAGCAAGGTGCATGAGCAACTGCCCATGCAACTACATCATAAAGCACAGGATTTGGAAAAAAGCATTTTTTTGGGAGTGTTCATGTTCATAACCTCCTCTGTGCCAAAATGCTTCAGTTTTTCTTATATAAAAGATCTTGAAGAAGATCTTTTGCATTTTGCTAAGAGGACATATAAGGGAAGTGCAAGTGATCAGAGTTTATCCCTTGTGTTGATTTTTTCAACGACTTAAAGACAGAAAGGCACTAAAACCAACATGAATCTTTCACACAATCTACTTTGGAATAATTCAAATCAAATTTTCTCACTTTCAATGTATAAATACTTACCGTTTTCTATTTGACTTATGGACTGTACAAAGCACTTGCACCACTAAGCTTTCTAAATTCCAGTTTTAATCACCCAGAGCTGAAAACATAACGCTTAACACAAACATCTGGTGACAGTGACGGGAAAGAAACAAGGAGGAAATGAAAAAGCACATGAGACACAGTTAACGGAAAATCTCCTGAATCACATTTCTTCTAAAATTTAATTTTGCTTTGCACTCAGAGAACTCAAGAGGTATTCTCGAGCTGTAAACAACTGTGATTCCAATGCAGCAAAGATGTCCTGAATTTGCTGGGTGTTTTCACCAGAAAGTCACATTGACAGAGCAGTTTTAAGCATTCTTATACCTCTGTTGTGAAATTCCTGCCACATTTCACACGTGAGCATCACATTTATCTCATTCACTCCAGTGGGAATGCGTGACCTTCTTTTCCAGTAGATCATTCTCAGGAGTCCCCTGTAAAAAGAAAATATTGCATTGAGTGGTTTAGATTTTGTTGATTAAGGCAAATCACAGTCTGTCCCTTAAGATGATGCAAAGATTCTAGATATAAATGTATCTACAGCTTTTTTGGGCAGTAGGTGAATTCCTTACAGTGAATTTCTTCTTGGGGGCATCAGATTCTCCTTTTTTACTCTAAACTGCCACCAGCACACTGAAAAACAACAGATGATTACATTTTGGCAGCAAATCAAAGAATAAGGACCAGTATGTGCTTTGTAGCCTCCAAGGAGTGTTCATGGGATTGAAATGTGAAACTCTCCGCAATTCAGAGTAATGTTGCAGCAAACAAAAAGTATTGCTTTAAAGCAGTGAGAAATAGTCAGAGACAAAAATGACTAATGCAATATTAACCCCAAAAAAGTCAAGAGTCATCATCAGCAATGTTATTAACAGCAGTTTTAATTATTAGCTCTATTTTTAGAAAAACTGGAGGCCCCAAATCAGACTTTGCAGTTTTGCTGCTTATTATACAGAAAAAATTCAGTCTGGTGTGGTGACAGAGGATAGAAAAATCAGTAGCTTGACCCTCTTTTATAAATTGGAATTGATCCACAAGGAAACCAAGATGTACAATTTTGTCATGTGGAAAAACCAGATTGCCCAGAGAAATTGAGGATGCCCCATCCCTGGAAGTGTCCAAGGCCAGCTGGAGAAAGCTGGGGTAGTGGAAGTTTCCCCTGCCCATGGCAGGGTTGGGAATGGATGAGCTTTTTAGTCCCATCCAACTCATAAGCACCATCTACTTCTTTAAAGAAATTAATATCAATTTATGGCTTGGTATTCACAAAGGGCATATTTAGAAGAAACCATTTTTCTCTACTGCATATTTCTTCCCTGTAAACAATCAAACTTCTATTGTCTTTTTGGTTTATCTAAAGCTATTTTTAAAATATTTTTCCTCCTACTTATGAAAAAAAGTTATGCTATTGTTGGCCAGAACCTTTGTTGGTAAGATGCATGCTCACATCATCATGAAATATATGACTAGTAAATTATATGTTAGTGGAAGAAGATATGGAGCTGAAGTATAAAATCTAACTCTTGAGTGTTGCAAGAAAAAATCAGATCATGATAATATTTTAAATTAAAGGAGTTTAGGATCACTGACTGGGCTTATATTGCTGACATTAGGACCACTTTCCTTTTTCAAACCTTTGTTTAACCCCCAGAAAAATCACAGAAAAAATAATAATCAAGAAAGAGTATTTCTATTGACAGTATTTCTATTGCTAATCATCATCATTTCACTGATAAAGCGTATTCCTGAAATGGATCCTTCTGTCAGCTAAAACACACACCAGGGGAAGAATATCTACCAACAAAGAGAAAGGAAACACCCCAAGCACAGCTTTTTCTCTCTGTCTAGGACACTGTTACCCACTTTCAGAACCACTCTACGTACCCAGAAACACACATTTTGTTACGCTGACTTACACAGCCTGTCATTCCTTCTAGTCTGTTCATGCAAAGCTGCCAGAAAGTTAACAAAACATGTATTCATTTGAACTCTGTGTTCCTCCAGCCTTTGTTGGACAAAAAACCACAGCCAATCCTACATGTTCCAGCTGCAGGGATTTTTATTCTCCAAATACATGGGAGGATGACTAAAGAGTTAGCACAGGCTGAGCAAGGAGGATTTCAGATTCTCCACATTTCATAAAACAAGACAGCAGTGATAATTTATGGCATCTATAAATTATCTATAAAAAGCACAACACATTACAAGGTGAGACTACCCAAAAGTAGCAGCCACTTCCCACATCCTCTCCCCTCCTCCTTATTTCCAACAGATTCAGGCCTTTCTGTGTTCCCTTCACACCTTCAGCTTACTGGTCCTCAGATCACAACGGCCCTTCAGCACATCCTGAATATTAATCAATAATATTAATCATTAGTTCACAAGCCCATCAGTCCAAAATATCTGCTTAAACATGTACTTAAGTCTCATTTATTGATGAAATAAAGGCAGGCTTAGGAATATAGCTAAGTGCTTTCTGAAATAAATGCTTGAGATTGTCACCTCAGGGAGAGGAAGAGTTTTCCTTCTTCCATTCAGGTTAAATGAATGATAGAAAAAGGAATTCAGAGAAAAAGGACTTCAAGATATGGCACAGGAGCTCTCTGAAAGATTTAGTTTATTTGGCAAGCAATGAAATTAATGTGATGCACAAGATGTCACTGCACCATAGTGGTGTCTGCAGAAAAATATTGAAGACCTGTGAAGTTCCAGTAGCTACTTAGGGTTTTATACATTTTTTTGTATTACACATTTTGCTTCTATGCAATAACATCTGGCCCAAGGTTTTTATTGCATCTGCAGTTTATTGCACATCATTACTTTTAACACATTTACTCCTTGGAGAGGTCTGGGATATTGTGGGCAGTGCAGCTACTCCTCCCTGCCTAGAACACTGTCTCTGGCAGAGTGGCTGGCAAATAATCTCTCCTTAAATGAGAAAAATGACAAATGGAAGGAGAGCCACAGAAGCAAGAGGGAGATGGATGTTGTAAATGTGCAGTAAGAAAGCTGGGATAGCTCTAGGTGATTCTTGTACTTCCTAAGCTAATGGATAAGCAGCTGACTGGAAAGAGCTGGGCATAATGAGCGGAACAAACTACCACAGTTTCCAAATCTCCTCTTGCTGCCAGGTGGCCAGCAGCAGCACTGCTTTCTTCAGTTCAGAAAGACCTGGGAGCTGCACTTTCTCTCCCACCTCTGTCCTCCTGTTCCTTCAGGAACAGCACCAAGGACACATTCAAAGGCCAGGATGGAGATTCCCTGGGTTTGGTGACTCACGATGATCACTGAATTATCACTTTGGACTCTGTGCAAGCATTTAGCACAAGGACAATATCAGATAGAGTTTCAAGGACATTTAAGTGTCACTCAGGCTCCGTGCCCTTCCCATTAATAATGGGATAAGCTGGTCACTGCCAAGTTGTGAATTTAACTGCTCTCAGTCAAAAATGAGCCACCTTTTCCCTACCTTATTTTCCTCTTGTCTTATTATCTAGCAAACTTGACAGCTGGGCCATGACAGGCAGGAAGAAGAAGAAGCTGTCCAAGTTACGCTCCAGGGATAACTGCTTAAAGTTTGTCCTTCCCAGCCTGACCCAGACTATTCTGACACAAGAGCTTTCACCCCAAAGATACCTGGTTGCAATGTGATGGCACATTCAGCAATATAGGGTAAAACAGAAAGAAAAAGACTTCTCCAGAGCCTATGAACAAAATCCTGCTTGCACACAGCAAACCAGTGTGAGGATCCAAAGAGAGGAAAAGATTTTAATGAACTTTGAACATCTGACTCCTTCCAGCATTATGGAAACAAAGGTGTCATTCCCTCTACAGTTCCTATCACAGCCAAGTCTATCCAGCACTGGAAAAAACTCTGTAGAATGGTACAAAATGAAAGCAATTATATTTCCAGTTGTCACAATATTTTCTCAAAATTTTCTGCCTGGCAAGCAAAAGAGATTTTTTTCATACAGGAACTGATTCCAAAAAGGCAGAGAAGCCAATGCTGTTAATTCAAATAATAGTAGAGATTAAAAGCAGTTCCCATGCACTAAAGTTGGTCTGGTGTTTTGGTTGTTTTCAATTTGTTACTTAAGTTAATTATAACATAATATAATTATAACATATTATCTATCTATCTATCTATCTATCTATCTATCTAACTATCTATCTATCTATCATTATAACATGGTATAGATGATTATATCCCAAATAATAATTGGAATATAATTTCCTTGGACTAACAGCTGTTGCCTAACACTACACTGATCACAAGGCACTGACCTGGGCCTGGTCACACTCTTTTCAGGAACTCTAACTTCTCAGCAATTCTGGTGAAATGTTTTCTGACTCGGATAATTCTGATTTTTATCACAACGTGAGACATGAAAAATTAAACCACTACAAGACAAGAGACCAGAAGGGCTCTCAAACCAGGGGAGGATCTACAATAAATGGATATTGCTTTAAAGAAATGAGGATAAACTGCTGTGAGTGTAGCTCTCTTCAGGAAACCCTACAAGTTCCATCACTGCTGGTGGTGCAGCAGAGACCTGAGGCCATTTGTCTCTGTCCCCTTCAGCCACACCTGCTGATCCACTGCCTTCCACAGCCAGGAACCCAGATTGCTTCCCACAGGTGCCTCCTGCACCAGCACAGTTTTGGATGGATGCTCCAGTCCCACAGTCCTGAAAAGAGAGCTACACTTCAAACTGATTACAAGTCACATAGGAACCACAGCTTGCCACTGGTTTAAATAAATTCTTGCTAATAACATTTAAACACTCGCAGGGAATGTGATTCCTTGAGGAAATTGCTTGGAAGGATAGCAGTGGGTAAAGAGAGCACAATGAGACCCACATATCTTCTATGTGTGTCTAGGTGGAGGATCTCTGAGCACACAGTTTGAACCTGTCACAACAGTAGAAAAAAAAAATAAATAAAGGGACAGTGGAAATCAGTACATGTTTTTATAAAAGTACAATTTCTCTCTGGTTGTCTTCGTGTAGTGTGACATATAGTAGTCATATGCTCTGACAGGGTAGTATTTAATAAATGAGACAAAAATTGTCATACACAGTAACTCCACCACTTTCCTGGGCAGCCTCTAAGAATTTGGATGATAACACCAAGCAAGAACTGAGCAAAAAGCAGAGAATGACAACTCATCAGTCCAAGCAATAGGGTTAATTTATTATGCTCCCCAGAGCTGTTAACAGCTGAAGAAAGCTAAACAAGGATGAACAGGAGTAACACGCTGTGCAACACAGCATTTAACTACTTCAGTCTGTTCCAGTCAACCAGAATTTTAAACTATGTTTTATGCTTCTTTAAGCCACCAAATCTTTTTAATCCCTGAATACAAAGGCATACTGAATTCCCAGTATACACCTACAGAAGTCTAGAAACCCACAATCAATCGTTATAAATAGAT